TGGAGATTTCTCCCTGGAAGATGCTCCACGGTCAGGTAGACCAGTTAAAGTTGACAGCGATCAAATGGAGACATTAATTGAGAACGATCAACACTATACCACACAGGAGACAGCCAACATACTCACAATATCCAAATCAATAAAGTTATTGGTAAAAATGAAAAATGTGTCTTTTATTTTATGGAAAAAATCATACGGTGTTTTTGGCCAACCCAATACAAATACCTGAGCCCAACTCCCAGAGTCCCTAGTCTTTTGGCGTGCAGGTGAGACAGAACACTTACTAGAGTAGGAAAGAAAAAGTCATGGCATCTATTCAGCCTGATCTGTTTCTCCAGCACAAGGAACAACTAAAGTGGTTTGACAGGCTGAGTGAAAGGCAAGCGGCCAGCTGACCTGGTCCTCTGGGTGACTCGCTCTCCTTTGAGGATCACAAGGAGCACCGTCAAAGGAGAGGAGGAGGGCTCCTGGGAGGAGCCTTTGGGGGTCTGGGGACAGGCGGCTGGCGGACACAACAATCGGAACCACAGCTTTGTTCTTCATACAGTAGCAACCCTCATCCTGACCCCCATCCTCCAAAAGACAAGAAGTAGTAGCACTCTTGCAGTAACAAAAGGCAAATGCCTCAAGTCTGAATTGCTTGAATTGAACTATAGGTCAGAAAAAGATCTTGTTTTACACCTTTTTCTTTTTTAAACAGGAAGAGGAAAGGAGGGTCCTAGAAAAATACTTTAGTAGGTAGAACTTTTGCTTTGGAACCAAAGACCTGAGCCTCGGGGCCCACAACCTTGCCCCTTACACAGAGGTTCTCCCACCCTGGCGGGTGCCTTCCTCCAAAGTCACTCACTGTTTTTATATCACATCCAAGTAGGAATAAAGGGAAAAGAACTGTCATCACCCTTCTTAAAGGATGAATCAGTTATTTGGTGATCAGTGAAAATCAATATGCTGGTCTGGAAACCAACCGGTATATACTACCCTCCATCAAGTGTGGCACAGAAACTTGTCTCGTGGATGCCTCTGGCGGACAGGGTGGGTAAAAGAACTGGGTAGGGCACTGTGCTAGTGCTAAAAAACTCTGCCACCAAAATAGTACAAAAAGCATGACTTTCCCACCCTTTCTAACTAGAGTCCCAATGAAAATTAGCATATTAAAGGTTCTGAGAAGTCCCAAGCTAAAGAAAAAGAACAGGGACTATGAGAACCATCATATAATTCACTTGCTTTACAACTGCACTGTCTAATACGATAGTACTCTGGCCACATTTGGTTACTGAGCACTGAAATGTGGCTCGCCTGAACTGAGAGAGGCTGTAAGTGAAAACCACACACTGGATTTCAAAGGCTTAGTATGAAAAAAACTGTAAAAATATCTCCGTTTTTTATATTGATTACATAATGAAATGGTTGGATTTTGATTATTAAAATGACAACATTTTAGATGTATGGAATTAAGATTCACTTCATCTATTTACACTTTTTAATATGGCTACCAGGGCATTTAAAATCAGGAACATGGCTCACATTATATTTCTGTTGGATAGTGCTTCTTTAGATAATGCTAGGCTAAAGTACAAGCTTAAAAACCCCAGACATTGGGGCATTTGCGCCACATTTGTTTTTCTCCTGAAAGAGAGGTATTATATCCCAGAACTCAGGATGGATAAAAACAGATGAAAAAGAACCATCTGGACATTCTGACCAGGATGTATAAAACAGTCCACCTAGCAATATGTTAACCCAAAGGCATCAAGAAATGAACTGAGCATCTTTCCTTTTTTGTCTACTATGCCTTAGATCTTTACACAATGATAGAGAACTGGTTCCCTTTGCCTTTTGTTCCATTACTCTATCAAGTTTTTCCTAAATACCACGCTAAAGACTGAATAAGTCTGGAGTTCAGTGACGGAAATCATTCTGTGCAGCGAGTACGGAAGAAGGCAGAAGTTCTCTCAGGGATGGTCTGGGATGTGCTGCTCAAGGCCCACTGGGTTACCTATTTATTGCTCTATCATAGATTTCACTCTCTTTCACGGTGACTTTGGGGGACCACTTCACCTACTTCCTGTGCCAGGGCAATAGGTATGAAATGTCTAGCGCGCGTTCAGAAGCATGTAGCACAGGCTGCATAACATACTATCCCTGTCAACTCATGAAAGAGAGTTGGTGAAACCTTGCCAGAGAACTAGTTGTATGATTGAGTAAGTAACCTCCTTCGCAGTTCAGCTTCTTCACTTCTAAAATAGGAATAGCAATGCCCATCTTACAAAGGAATCTGAGGATCAAACAAAGGAAAGCTGAACGCCTAGTAGGTGGCTGGCACTAAGCAGACACAATTTCTCTCCAGACTCCTCTCTACTCTGTGGGCTTCAGTCACCTTTAGGTCTAGTCCTTTCTAGGTTTATAATTGAGGGATTTAGCAGTACCAATTGGTAGTTACAGAAGAGCCACAGAGATGTAGATTATAACATAAAGAATATAGTCAATAATATCGAGATAAACGGGTACGGGGCCAGGTGGGTACTTGAAGCAGTGGGAGGGTCCACTCTGTAAAGTATGATTTACTAACCACTTTGCTGTGTATCTGAAACTAGTACAGAATAATACTGAATGCAAGCTGTAACTGAAAAACAAATTTAAAAATAAAAAATAATAAAATTGAGAAGCTATCTGAAGTGTCAGTTGTTACAAGGCAAATATAAGAGCTCAGAAGATGTCACACCATGACAATAAGTGGGTTTTTCCCCTTTCTGCGTTTTTCTCCTCAGAAGCAGTAGTTCAGTAACATCATTTCCATTATAAAAGGTCTGTTGTGTCCAGTTCCCTGGCATCAGAAAGAGAGCACACTGGGAACACCTGCCTGAAAGTGCCAGTGCGGGGTTTCCCGGGGTCCCCAGGAATCCCTCCGACTCCGGCAGCGGCGGTCAGGTCATCCGTGGGAACGGCACCACTGTGAGTCGTCCTAGCCTTTCATTATTGAGGCGCCGTTCCTGTGCCTCGCCCACTTCAGGTCCTCAAATACAAGTATCTGCCATGTTTAAAAATGGATTCCTCTCCTTCTTCAGGCCTGGCACCTCAACTTATAGGAAACACAATGTCTTCTACATCCTCAGACTTGAGGCCTCTCTCCGTTCTCCCTTCTGTACAATTTCTCTATATCTGGTCATTCTGCCAGCCGCACAGAGGGGGCTCAAGGGAGCTCTGAGTAGCTGAATCTACTGTTAAAAATGCCTACAGCTGCCTAAGTAGGGTTGGGCCTATATACTCTAGGACTAAATGAAGATGCAATAAACAGACATACTTGGAAGAGCAAAGTTTTTGGATGGATTTCAAATGGATCACAGGCAATAGTAAACCTACAGTCATTGACTATTTAGGTCCAAGCAAGTCAGAAAACATCAATATTTTTAAGTGTCTAAATAAATGGACAAATCTATTACCAAGTCATCTACCCCAGAACTCAGGGGCTACTGGGCTAAATGAGGTCAGAAGTCTGCACCCCTCAGAACCCCAATCTGTGCGCCAAGGCATGTGGGGGGGGGGTGATAATGAACCTCTTAGCTCTCCAAATAGGTGGGAAGCCAGATGCCCTGGATCCGACCCCTTCGACCAACAAGTTGCGGCCACTCTCCAGGCCCCACATCCTCTTCAAGTCAAACCCCAATTTAGAGCCGTTCATATCGAAGAGCCCAAGGCCACCAGAGACTGAATGAAGAATCTATCATAGAGCCTTCCCTAAGCCTCCCAAATAAAAGTGACCAGTTTCTCCTCCGACCGCAACATGCCTCCTCTATGCCCTACCATAGCACAGATCCAAACACTTCATTTTTGTTTATATATTTCCTCCACCGAGCTGGGTTCCCTGGACCCCTATGGCCTAACACAAAATGCTCAATGCTGGCTACTGGACTAGAGGCATACTTCTCAACCCAGGTGCTCCATGGGCTGGGATAATGCAAAGCCAGAAGATAAACAAGGTTCAATCATCTCCCTAGAGTTCAAGCTTCAAACATTTTCTTACTGAGACAGTGTAAGAGAAAGCAAAATCTACAGGGAGTTTTAGTAAAATAAAGTATTAGTGTTGTAGCGGGCTGGCAGCTTCCTAGTTCAGGGATCTGCCCCAGACTGCTGGGTGTCCAAGTTCCCTATCCTTTCTGTTACAGGCCCCGGCCAAAGATGAGAAATCCAAAGAGCTCTGGACTTACATGTGCCCTACTTCTTGAGAGAATGAAAGCAATCTGTCGGGTAGCGGTCAAAAGTCACCCATGCCACTTTATAGGTGAAAAACAAAACAAAAACAAAACAAAAAAACACAGGCTAATCTTGCTCACACAACTCAGAAGAAAAATGCTGAGGAAAGGAAAAGAAGGTCTCGTGAATTACCGGCCCCGGACATGACATGGGCAGGGTTGTAGGAAAACTTTCTTTTTAAAAGCCTAAAATAACGTACCATAGCTTGTTTAGGTCCAGAGACCCTTTGATCATTTCCTGGAATGGACGCCAACAAGAAACTCTCATTTCTCGCCTTCACTCTTCTACGCTCGGCTGCCTCAGCAGTAAACCGTTAATGAGCTCTCGATAAACAGTAATCAGAGCACCTCTTTCTTACGGAAAGCCTCTTGCGATGCCTCTTGAGCACAATTGAGGCCTCTCAAGGGTTAGCACTCTTGCGGGTGTGCAAACACCCTCCCCACCTTCCTCCAGAAAAGGGGCTTCCGCACTCCACTGAAGGGCCTCCAACGGCCCAGAATTTTCTGAACTTTTCTCCAGCCCCAGCCTTCAAGGCTCTTCGTGGCCAACCCTGCGCCAAAGAAAGAGCCAAGAGGCAGGGTAAAACATCTTCAGAGGAAAGCCGGATTGAAGAACCGGTTCTTTCTTCCTACAAGTGCCTTCTGGGGCCGCGCGGAAGAGGCCAGCCAGGACTCTGGGTGGCAGGGCAGACAAACAGGCAGACAGACACACACACACCCGTAGGCCTGGAGTCCCCGGTCCGCACTCACCTTGGCCGACGTCTCTCCGAACAGAGGTCTGTTGTCCAGACCACTGGTGCCGTAGGTCCTGGTAGAAAAGTCCTCCATTTTGGGGTTTCTTCACTTTCCCCAAAGTCACTCAAAACCAAGCCAGCATTCCCTCCCGAAGTCTCAGGGCTCCCCAGGCGCCTAGTCACCGGGCACACATAGCCCAACCCCAGGTACGCCCGGGACGTCCTGGCGGTGGTGGGCTCTCAGACCCGGGGGGAAAGACGGCTCCGCCCAAGCCCCGCTCTCCTCCTCATCTTGAGCAGCTGCCGAAGGAAGTGAAAGGAAACACCTTTGGCCAACTCTGCAGGACGCCCCCGCCCGGGCAGCTCCCACTTCCCCAAATCTCAGCGCTCCGCCTGCCCTGCTCGTGGCCGCACGGTCCTCAGGGCACTGCAGCTCGCAGAGCAAGTCGGCTTCCCCCGCCCCGGTCACACGTGATTCCCACCCCTCTCCCCACCCCACCCCCAACGCCGGCGAGCTCGCAGACCTCCAGGCTCAGGTGGGAAAAGTTTTCACGGAAGAAATCACTACAAGACTCTGTTCACCGCCCCAGCCCCAATTCCCCAGCGGCAGAAGAAGTGAAGTTAGTGGCCGAATCAGAGCCTACAGCTCGGCGGACGCCTCCCGCAGCGCTGCGGGTGTAAGCCCAGCAACTTGGATCCCCCTTCATTTGTTGCATCTACGCGCGGGCCGGCGGGCCTTCGGCAGCTCTCCCCTGCCCTCTCTGCGGGCGCCGTGGCAGGAGCGGGCAAGGGAGACAGTCCCACCTGAGCCCTGCACAGCTTGGCCACCCTACCCGGAAACCCCGCGCCCGCAGGCCAAACCTCAGCGTCCCTGGCCGCCCGCACACTGAGGAGTCCCGGCCGCGCTGGGGATCACGGGTCCCAGGTCTACGCCTGCACCGGAATTCGGTGCCGAGGCTCAGGTGCACCGGCAAGAAAGAGATTTTTTCCGGCTGGCAGAGAGCCGGCGCACGGTCCAAGAGCTGAGCTGTGGATTCCCGCCCGGATCCTCCGGCCAGGACCCGCGGCCACTGTCGCAAACCGACTCGGCCCGCCCAGGCCACGTCATGGTCGAGGCTGCCAATCCCACCTGCCGAAGCGATGCATTGGCTGCGGAGCTTTATTTCTAGAGGTGCCAATTTATTCCCGGTGGAACGGCCCGTCTCACCGGCCGCACGTTTCTCAGCCTCCTAGTAATTAGCATCTGCACGAGCCACGAGAGCAAAGAACATTTCCGAAGGTAGCTTTGAATTTGGCTGAAAGCATCTTAGAAACAACCAGCCTGCGTTAACCACCCCAGTCTTTGCTCAACATGGCAGAACAGGGTCATTGATAAATTTGGTTGAGGGTACCGTTTTCTTGTTATACCAGTGATTGGAGTCGTATGTTGTTTACAGAAACAGCCAGGAGGTAATGAATGCTAGGTGCTCCTTTGACTTGTCCACTCAATCCTGCTAGCGCTGGTGCTGAGTAAGCATGTTTGCAGCCACAGCGAATGCTTGTCAACCTCTTCCCCAAGTCTTAGAGCACAGAGAACTGGAGGTAGACAGGCCTCAGGCAAAACAGAGTTACTCTGCATTTGAGGTAATGCAGAAGTATACGAAACAAACACAACCAAGCTAGCTTCCCTGGGCACGACTGCTCCTAGGTAGAAGAGAGTTCTAACAAAGTTTGTGTGCAGGGAGAACCTGTGTTGGGCACGTGTAGCTACATAACACTTAAGAGTCCAAGTAAAGATTCCAGTGGTCCCTCATCAGTTTAGGACAAGGGATGGACTAAGAACCACATAGCTATAGATTTGGAATTGGCAACACTGACTAGAATCAGGTATGGTGTATATCTGATCTACCAGATATATTTTATAAATGATCTCTTTGTTCAAGACTTACTGTTATATAAGGAATTTTCACCCAGAATCATTTACCCATTTTTATTGGAAGGTTGATTGGCTCAACAAATAACTTTTTTTACTCATATTCAACCACATTCATTCAACTAATACTTCTGAGAACAAACACCTTTAAAAACCTGTACCAGGGAATCACCAGACAGGATTATACAGTGATCAAGACACACACAAGACCTTAGTGTTGAGGCTGGAGTAGAAGACAGAGACAACTGATTACAGTCTAGAGGAAGGAGCAGGCACAACACCTAAGAGAACAAGCTTTGAAGTTGATCACATACCGTATTCTGGGGTGATTAATGCGCATCTTTTTGCCCAAATTTTTGATGGAAAAATAAGGATGAACATTTTATATGGGTATTCCTAATTCCATATCTATAGAAATGTTTTTATTTATGCTTATGCATTAAAAGTATAACTATAGAAAGCAATGATGATATATGTATGCAAAATAATGCCCTGGAATATGACTATTGGTTTTGTTTCTAAATATAAGTAAATAAATAATCAATTTAAAATTAAAATGAAAGGGTTTTTTTCCTGAAAGTCTGGGCCAAAAACGTTGGTGCATATTATACAGGGCCTCACACCTCGATGCCATGACCTATGTGATCTTGGGTGAGTTATCTAACCTCTCTTGAGCTTCTTCTTAGGTAAAAAGTAAAGACTGATAACAATAAATGAAACTAGAATATCTAACTTCAGCTGGTTTTAAATAAATATTTATGTATTTAATAGAGAGTTTATGACACCTGGCAAATATGTATCCAAATGGTGGATGTCGTAAGTGGTGATGAGTGAGTGCTACGACCTGGACACTACGGGATGCTACAGGTGTACTCGGGAGGGCACCCGCAGCTTCAGGTGTCAGGGGAAGCGTCCTGGAGGAGTCTTGTGAATCAAGAACCCCCCTCCAAAAAAAGTGTGATTCAGCCAAGGTAAGGAGGAGCATCACGAAGGCTGGCCAGAGAGGCCAGATGTTAGCGTCCAATGTATTTGAGGAGAAAGGCCAGGGGAAAGGATCCCCTCACTCTAGAGCTGCTTAGTCTCTCATCTCATATCAGTTTTGTGCCTGTGCTCCATTCTTTTTCCTAAGAACCAATTTCATCATGATTACTGCTCCCTAAAACTTCAATTTACATAAGGATTTAACTTGTTTTGGGTGTTAAACTCAGGGAGAATAGATCTTGTAGCTCCACTGCCCACCACTTCTTTGGAGGTTCTGATTCTATTTTTCAATTCAGGTTCTCATGAGAAATTTTGATTGGCTGAGTCCAGATTATGGATTGGCTTCTACTTGTAACAGTGCCTCCACCTCCAATCTGCCAAGATGGGACCAGATAGAACATACCTCTTTTAAATTCCACCCCCTTCAGCAGTGTATGGTAGAGGACATTTAAATAAAGAATATAAGTATGTACGGAAGTCAGTGATAGGTTTATCCAGTGTCTTGCCACTCAAAGTGTGGTCCCCAGACCACCTTATTGGTATCACCTGGTAACTTGTTAGAAATGCAGAGCTTCAGTCCTCACCCCAGATCTACTGAATCATTACCTGAATTTAATAAGATCCCAGGAGATTTGTATGTGCCTTGAAGTTTGAAAAGCAACTTCTTTTATATATCTCTATTTTTTCAAATTGGGCCACAGTCCACACAGACGACCCTCCCAAATACCACAGCTCCTCATTTCTTGATTTTCTTTATTGTGCTTCAGTCGCTCATTCCAATGGAACATTCTGGACTTTGCACCACGTTGGAAATAAATCCAGAGACCATTTGGTTTGCCTTGTCCTTCCAATTCACTCTCTCTTTCTCTCTCACTCTTACCGGTCCTTTGGCAACTTCAGTGTCTCTGACCCTTTGGTGTATTGACTTTCTCCCTATGAATCTACTCCCCCGTTTTCACTTTCTTCCAACTTAGACTCTGTATTCTATCACTGCAATTGCTTTTTTTTTTTTAACCCTCACGCAAGGACATTTTCTCATTGCTTTTAGAGAGAAGAAGGGAGAGAGAGATACGTCAATGTGGAGAGAAGTACTGATTGGTTGCTTTCCACACGCACTCAAATGGGGGATCAAACCTGCAACCTAAGTATACGGTCTGACTGGGAAACAAACTTACAACTTTTCAGTCATGGGACGATGCTCCAACCACTGAACCACATCAGGCAAGACTGCAGTTGCTTTAAAAAAAAAATGATAATAATATCTATATCCTGTTCCCTTGTGCAGAAAGTCCCCTGAGGTGTTAATCTGTCTGCCTTCTCCACACCTGTAACCAGGTGTCCAGTGCAGGTGGAGGGAAAAAAATCATTAATGCTCCTGATTAATTTTAAATTCAGGGTAGCCAACCTCAACTGTGCCCTTAAAACCAGCTGGAAATCCTGTGTTGCCTGGGCAACAGTCCCTTACCTTCGGCAGGTGATCTCCCAGGGAAGATGGGCATTCCCTCACCTCCCCAGCACACGTACACCTTCACCTATGCCACCCTCATCCATTTCTCCTTCCCTCCAATTAGAATGGGAGAGATGCCAGTCCGTCTCTCATGTTTTATATCCCATTGCATCCCAGTCACAGGGGGCTCATTACTATGATTATATTTTTCTGCAGAAAGCATTTAAACAGTTTCAACTATGTTTTTTAAAAAAGTAAAAAACTTGCATTAAGCTCATGTCTTCCTCTGGCTACCACACTTTCCTTCTCCAAACCGCCTGTGGAGCTCTTGGTTGTCTCAATAGCCACCTTTCTCCTCCCCTTCTTCCTTGAAAGCGGAGCCTACCTCCCAATATAAAGGGAAATAATGCCAGATGTTCACTTGCTGAAACTCTCTTGTAGCTGGAGGAGGGAGTTGCAAGCGTTAAAGCCAAGGAGTCATCAGGGCACGTCTGTTGGAAGCTTTCAGGAAGGTTTGCTCCCTAATAAAAAGGAGTGAGGTACATGAGAAGAGCTATCGCTCTAGACGTTGCCATGTGAGGATGGGATATTTGGAGATGCTTTTACCATCTTATGACCGTGAAAGGGTGGCCACTGGTATCCCCAGAGAAGCCAACTAGAGTCTAAACCTGTGAACCACCCACTTAGGCTGCTTCTTATTACATATTGTGTGTGCGCGCGGGCGTGCATGTGTGTGTGTGTGTGTGTGTGTGTTTTGAGTGGAAGAGTCTCTATTGTGTAAGTCACTTTTATTTGGGTATTCCCATGTTTACAGCTGCAAAGACATTGATATATTTTTAAAGCCAAAATCTCTATCAAAAGGTCCATATAGGTTCCATCTACTTCCTTTCCTCTCAGACTTGCTTCAGTCACTGAAATCTGGTTTACCCACACCACACCGCTGCACCACGTTCTCCCTTGAGGATGCAGTGAGCATTTACTACTGAATCCACTGGACCCTTTTTTCAGACTTCCTCCTACATGGCCTCTCGGCGGCACTTAGTATTTTAAAATCCTGGCAAAAGCCCTTCCTATAGCTCTGCTGCTGCTCTTCTGCACAGGTCTTCACTGCTGCCTCCCTGGGCCCTGTCCCTCGCCTTTCCCCTGCCACTGCGTGCTTTGCCAGGGCCAGCTCATCTGCCTCCATGACTTCCATTTCTCTCCCTCTGCCAGTGGTTTTCAACACTTTGCATCTCGTGGCACACAAACCAATCACAGGAACTCTGTGCACACCAAAAAAATATGATTTTTTTTTTGCCAATCCGACAAAAAAAATAGGTATAATTTTGAGTCATTCACACCAGACAGCTTTCATTGTGTTGGCTGTTGTCATTTTTTCATCTGACAGTCTAGCAGGAGTGTCCAACCTTTTGGCCTCCTGGGCCACACTAGAAGAAGAAGAGTTGTCTTGGGCCACGTATTGAATACATGGCGACACGTAATCACAAAAAAATCTCCTAATGTTTTAAGTAAACTTATGATTTTGCGTTGAGCCACTTTCATAGCCATCCTGAGCCGCCTGTGGCCCTCAGGCCACGGGTTGGACACCCCTAGGCTACGGGAAAAGAGGTCAGTGGCTCCGATTACATAGTCAGATATCAAATGTTTTAAATATTCTTGTGGCACACCGGTTGAAAATTGCTGCTCTCTGCTACTGACTCCCAAACCTATATGAACAGACTTCCACAAGTTGGC